GAAATACCCATCCGTCTTAAGAGAAGAATTATCCTGCATATCAACTAGAATACGCTGGCGGAAGAAATTTACATCTATGAATATTGAAAGTTACTGAAGTAGTATGTAGTAACGTGACCATGCATTAATATATTTTCTGTAATTGTACACTCTCAGATGTAAGGAGCTTTGAATTTAAATTGAAATTACTGGGTTGTAAGTAACTTTAAAGTAGTCTTAACGTTTAGTGGAAAGCACACTACTGCTACACTTAACCTAAATATCTATAAATACAAACCACACACAATCCACTTGTTTGTTTGAACTAATACAGAAGTTTTTTTCTTTCACATTTTTCTTGTATTTTATCCAGTGGTCTTTCTTTTTTTCTCTAATATCTGTTCGAGTTTTTAGTAATTAATATAATGTTTTTCTTTTGGAGGAGTGAGACGGAACCATTGTATGTCCGATTTCTTTTTTTACTTTCCTACCTATACTAGGTAAGGAAAGTACTGCGATCGGAACAAATTTCCGATATCTGGTTTTCGACGGATCTACACGCTTCAGAGTCCCTTAGTCTGAAAAACACATTTTTAGCCATTGGTCTGCCTGTCTTTCTGTGCCAAAATTATCTTGAGAACTAGTAGACCGATTTTGTTGATTCTTTTTTATTTTGTTTGGTTATGACTAGTTATGCCTGTGACACAAATTGGGTGCTTCCTGCGCAATAAGTGAAAAACACATTTTTCCCTCTAGCTCAATAACGATTTGGATGAAACTTTCCTTTAAGTTTCTAACTAATGTCCTTACAATTTTCGCACATTTACTGAATTTCCGAGGAAATTCAGTAAAAAAAGTTAAAATGTTTTGGGGTTATATATTCTATGTTAAACTTTGTGTAAAATCTTTTGAAAGATAATTAAATTAGCTACAAAAAAAAAAAATTCATTGGAATCGGACCATTATTATCGATGATACAACACAACGTATTCTATTTTCTACAAGTTTTAATTTATCACTTTCCTACCTATAGTAGGTAAGGAAAGTATTACCATCGGATCAAATTTCCGATATGTGGTTTTCGACGGATCTATACGCTTCAGAGCTCTTTAGTCTGAAAAACACATTTTTAGCCATTGGTCTATCTGTCTTTCTGTGTCATGATTATCATGAGAACTAGCAGTCCGATTTCGTTGATTCTTTTTTTATTTTGTTGGGTTTGTACTAGATATGCCTGTAAAACAAATCGAGTGGTCCCTGCGCAATTGCGGCTGCCCAATAACTGAAAAATATGTTTTTCTATAGACTCTAGGGCAAACACGGCTATAACGATTTTGATGAAACTTTCCTGTATTTTTCTAGCTAATGTCCTTAAAAGTTTCGCACATTTACAGAATTCCCGAGAAAATTCAGTAAAAACAGGTTTTTTTTTTTTTATTTCTTTATTGAGTATTACAACAATCTGTCTCTTGGACATTGGTTATAGTGAGGTAGGATGGCATTCACACTATATGTACAAAAAAAATAAAATAAATAGAAACAAAATAATAATCAAAAGTTTATACAATAGATAATAAAATAAAATAACCTAAAAAATAAGAAAATTAAAACTAAGCAAAAAAAAAAAAACCACATGCATACCTGAAAAAAAAACAGGTTATAAAGAAAAGAAAAATGTTTTGGGGTCGAATTCGCTAATTATATATTCTATGGTAAAATTTATGTAAAATCTTTTGAAAGGTAATTCATTGGAATCGAACCAGTATTATCGATGATACAACACAACGTATTCTGTTTTCTACACATGTTTTAATTTATCACTTTCCTACTTATAGTAGGTAAGGAAAGTATTGCGATCGGGTCAAATTTCCGATATGCAGTTTTCGATGGACCTATACGTTTCATAATCCCCTGAGTCCGAAAAACACATTTTCAGCCATTGCCATGTCTGTCTTTCTATGCCAAGATTATCTCGGGAACTAGTAGACCGATTTTGTTGATTCTTTTTTTATTTTGTAGGGTTTTGACAAATGATGCCTGTGACACAAATTGGGTGCTCTCTGCGCAATAGATATTATTACTGTTTTTGATAATAGATCTAAGGGTCACAGGGTCTCAGCTGGAAATGTTGTGGGTTCGATTTACTCCTGAGTCACTTAATATTGCGATATTTTAATATTTAACAGCTACCAGTCAGAGACTGGTAAAAAGGGCGGCAAGGTCTACCTCGTAATAGTTGCTATACCAGCACCAGCACCCTCTGATATCACTTACAAAATATTTACAATTATGTTCATATATTATTAGACGAATATATTAATCTTGCAAGAATGTATACATTTGTAAATATTTTGGAAGTAATTTCAGAGGGAGAAAAACGATAAAACACAAAGAAGGGGTTACAGTCAATATTTTTCTATTGATCATACGAGTACCTGGTTAGCTGATTAAAATCCTCATCACTGTAGTCACCTTATCAAGATCACTGTAATCGTAATTATGATTACTGTAATTGTAATCGTTGATTATGACCATGCCCATCTCTTATCTGCAATATATATAAGTAGAGATTGGATTTTCATGTTAATGCATACTTTATTCGCTAAGGGGTAAAAACTTCAAACCCGCCAATCTATCCATTTCAAGATCTGTAGAATAATATATTGAAATTTAATTTAATTTTCACGAAACTGACGTTTTGTTCTTTTTGGGATTATTTGCACGTTTTTGGTTCTTGTAGCATCATATTGCATATTATACTATTTAAGGGCTAAATTTCAATTTTAATAGTATAAAGTACGTAGATATGTAAATATTTATTTATATTATATTAGGTTTTAGTTGAGAACAGAGGTGTCCAACACACGGATGCCATAAGTTGGGATATACTTTTTAAATTTTTTGTTCTCAATTTTTTTTTTTCATAATAACATTTTCAAGTTATTTTTCTATGATGAAATGGTGTTTTAGTCTCCTATTGTTTACTGAAGGTAACAAAATTACTATCCAAGTACACACATTTTATTGTATAAATAATAGTATAATTGAGTGCCTATTCACGAAGATAGATGGCGCACGAATATCCCCCCCATTTCTAAGATATTTTATTGCTTTTCTCTTCTTAAAAATAGTGCAAGCTTAAGCAAGCTTTTAAAAAATCTTACATCATATGCAATTACACTCACAATGGTCTCTTATTTTTTTATTTTTTTTTAGCCTGATTCTTCAACTCACACCTGTCAGAAGTTCCGACAATCAGCGAGTGTGATGTCTTATTTGTGTTTTCCTTATTTCCTGGTTTAAAACTTTTCATTTCGAAAATTCATAATCCCCTCAAAATGTACCCCCTCAAAAAGTTTGATGGCGCAACTTGCGCCATCAAACCCCCTTCTGGACACCCCTGGGTAACATTTTTAATACAAGTGAATATAGTATTTTAATACAAAATCTTCTTAGTTCAGTTGTTAGCGGTTCCAAAACACGTGTATATTTATTTTCCGGTTTTCAAACAAACAAGTATGAAAACATTTTGTTTAAATCAAACGTTTTATTGCCGCTTGAATGTTCTTTGACAAAACGCCACTGGGTTGTGTGAAGAACTATATATTTTAATGAAAGCTAAGGAACTTAACTCAAAATCAACTTTTTAAAATACATAAATTGATCTACAGCTGTCAAATCAAGCCTCAATTGAAAAATGCACCGTTCTTTAAAAATATATATGATTAATTTTTTATAAGCTACTTTCATACAGAATTAGGTTAATCGTCTTAATAATTATTATACGTAATACCTAATTCCATTAAGAGGTTATAACCATTAACATAAAAGTAAACATGCATTAATATTATAAATTAAACTAAAACTATGATTTTTGCATATTGTGTACACAATTTTACACTTTTTGGGTTTTTACTGCACGATTTTGTACATTTTGAGTTCTATGTTACATATGTTTTGGTTTTTTACTGTACTAAAATTCGGTCTCTATATATAAGTGACTTTCCCTACAGATGTTTATATTATTAACCATAAAGAAACTAAGCATGTGTAATTCATATGAATGAAAATTCACAGGTTTTTCATAACGAATTTTTTACATCTTATGCTATTTACTAATAATAATTTTTCACAGGTTCTTCTTCACTGGACGAATTTCATGTAAATAGTTTATGAATAATTATAGTATATCAAGTCTAACATATAATTTTAGTTTAACAAATAATTTTAGGTAGCTAAATAATTACAACCAAACCTCTAAATTTATTTATCGATTTTCTCCACACATAAGCTCATATTACTGAAGAATCTCAACAATTAATCAAGAAGTGTTAGGAATTTATTTTTTGATCACATATCGTAGTTATCAGTGTTAACTCGAAAATATAGAACCAGGCCACTTTAAGGTTAACACTGGTGACCCAATTGCACCGAAACTTTGCTATAGATCAATATTTATGTCTTCATAATTATCACAAAAATAAAGTGACTAATTTATTTAACATAATAAATTAGTATTGAGAATGATTGGCTTCAACATCTAAAAAGGGCCATAATTCAGTTAACTATCACGATTACTGTATAAAACTACATTTTATAAATTTACTTTCTCACAGCAGAATACATTCTTTACTTATTTAAACGTTTATTTGTTAGTTGTTATACATACTAGGCCCAACACCAACATCAGCAATACCGAAAATATTGGATATGATAGAATCAAAATAGCTGGTAAACTCATTAAGAACCATCTTAAGATAGTATTTATATGATGTTGTTGGATGAATCCAACCTGAAATTGAATCAGATGTAAATATCTAAAATAGCTTTCCTTCTAGATTGATTTTTCTAGATATTTTAGTTTAGATTAAAAAAAAAAAACGCTTACGAAGAACGAAAGTATATATTTTAAATAAAATATTTATGACAACTAACCATCATCAAGGCTATTATCATAAAACATGTATCGTCAAAATGATAGATTCAACAAAAATATATTAATAAAACTGCGGTGTACTTACGGGCGTAGCCATTGGCCAGGAAGTCTAGCAACACAGTTTCCGTTTCAGCATCGTGAATTTGGTCTTGGGCTACATCGGTATGCCCTGGTAAGTTTCATTTATAATTTTGATACCATATGGCCGTCGCTAACATCACTCGAACGATCATTATAATGGTTCACGTCGGCAAATTACGACGTTTCATTACATATTTTTGTCATCTCATATAACCTACTAGAAGCAACTGTTTAACTGAACACTTAATTCTGACTCTCAATGCACGAAATCACTAATCGATACAATTACATGCTAGAACCTAACCTATATCCAGTAATATCAATACTATTGGAATGGAAAATAAAACAATACCAAATAGGTAACCCGTATGAGAACTCTCGTATTATATATCTACTCTTATTTTGCCAGATACATTTGAAGTATAAAATATATTTTTGAAACATTATAAACATTACATTGGGAACATTACAAGAAAATCCATTAAAAATATAAAATTGTAACCTACATGCTTTTTAATGAAAAAAAAACATTACTTTATGTTGAGAAAAACAGCTTACTCAATAATTAATAGTTTGCCTAATTGGAAAATAACTTCACTTTAACAGTTAAGCAGTAAAATTCAGCCATGCTTACATTGAAAAAATATAATGTTGTACTCCTTGAGATATGTTGATTTGGTGTACAAAAAATCATTGTAAATCTCTTAATTGTTAAGAGGGAAATACAGAAACCTCAATTTTGATATCTATTTTAAAAATCAATAAAATTATAACAAAACTTGTTTATGTTTGTTATTATTATTATTTCAATTCAGTTCATTTATTTTAATCCGAATTCCAGAATTGACTCCCGTCCTATTCTGCTATGGAAGCAGTCCTCTCGTAATTCTCTTGCAACCATTCCCTGTTTCAAATCTTCTATCCAGTTCTCTCTTGACTATTACCTCTTATACTCTGGCTGGAGTTGGAACACTTATTTTGGCCATATTTCGTCTCTCGCACTTAATACGTGACCATACCATTGAAGCTTTCAATATTATATAAAATATTTTTTCCTGCTCTTAATTTGTTCCAATAGCAGCTTCTTACAAAATGCATCTCTAGGGCTAATAGTTTTTGGTAAGACTGATGTTTTTACTATTCATATTTCGGCCTAATATAAGGATGTTTGTAATATAAAAGAATGATATTTCTTTTTTGTTTTCAAGGAAATATCCCATAAGACCGACTTAAGAATCCCGATAATTTTTCTTCTTCAATATATATTTGATGAAATATGATTATCGAGTTCGAGTTCCTTTTTCATTTATCTATACTACTAAATACCGAAATTCCGTATTCCGAAAAAAATGCCAATTTTTTGTTATCAGGGTGCTTGACGAGTTAAAGATCATATATTCATGGAATTCATGGAAAGTCATGGAAACCCCATATTGCTCATATCTCCAGAAGGTCAATTGGTACACTTAAACTATTTCATCGTTCTCGTCAACATCTCCCACAACCTATCCGCAGGCTCCTCGTTTCCTCATTGATTTTCCCCTACTTTGATTATGGCTGTGTGGTATATGGTGGCCTCTCGTTGGAGCTTGAGGACAGACTGAAGAGAATCATGAACTGTTCTTTAAGATTTGTCTTCGGCACTTCGAGATGGTCTCATGTGTCCCACCTATATTCCGAGTCAAAGTGGCTCTTCCCCTCTTCCCGCCGCCTATACTTCCTTGGAAATTTCTTATATCAAACGATCAATTCCCAGCACCCTTCCTATATCTACTGTCTCCTCAAGCCGAAACCTTTAGTCCACTCAATAAAAACGAGATCCCGTGATGCTGACCTCTATATTCCATCACACAAGACAAAAACCTATGAACGTTCCTTCTTGGCCCGCTCCGTCTCCTATTGGAATTCTTTGGCACATAACATCCGTCATGCCTCTTCACTGTCAACCTTCAAATACCCCCGTTTCTAATATCTCCTTGCATCCCAAACAGACGATTCGCGACCATAAATTACATTTTATGAACTGAATTTGTGAGAAGTAAATGGTGGTGCCTACAGTTTAAGTTTCTACATAAAACAGCAATGATTTTTTACTATTATTTTTACTATTTATTTGTATTTCTCTTCACCTCAGGTTGTGCTTTTTCTTTCATGTATATATAAGTTTATATTTTATACTTTTTGTCTCACTGTGTAGCAATATGAGTACGTATATATAGTTCCTTTTTTACCTTTATACCACAATTATTCCTGAGATGTTATTTTATCTTAGTGTTTGCTTATTATTTTATGAATCACTGTAAATATTATTACATTTTGTATTAAATTATGTTTCTATTAGATAGCTATTATTTATAAATTGTGCAGTTATGTATATATAGATATGTAATTTCTTTTCTGTCTTTTTTTTTTTCTTTTTTTTATCTTAATAATAAGTAAATTTGGAGAAGATTGTATGTTCATTTATATATGTATGTATGTGTATGTGCGTGTGTTTATATATGTGTATTTTTTTTTTTATTTCTTAGTGGTTACATACTACTTTTTAAATAAAAAATATAGATATTACGTTAGAATTTTTTTAAGTTAGTTTTTGGCCAGATTGGTATTTTATTTTGTATTAATTCATCTTTGTTATTCTAAGGGGACTTAGTCCCAGAATAAAGTTCTATTTTCTATTCTATTCTATTCTATATTTTGACCAGACCCCAATGTGTAAACTCCTCGATATTTTTATTCATCTAATGAATTGACTAACTCATCGTCAACATACAACAAAAAAGATGAATAGCGTTTGTTTTAAGTGTTGTGGATATCAATATTTCATGTGAGGTTTTCAACTTAAACAAAAATTGTATATAATTAAAGGGACACAACCCAAAAAATGCTGTTTTACGTTTAAATTTTACAGCTTTTTAAATAATTCTTTACTTTTCTACTTGTATATGTTCGCTTATTTTTTTTCAGTAACAATAGCTCAATTTTAATTTTTTTCTGAAATATTTTGAGTTGTACCTCTTTATATTTTTGTTAAGACTTTATTTTTTTTAGTTAGCCTATTATCACTTCATACTGCTTTAAGAAGTGAAATTAAAATTAAAGATAAATATAAATCTTTAAATAAAATAATAATATAGTAAATTATTGTAATCTTCTTAGTAAAAACTGCAAATCCTAATCATTCATCTTTTTATTCGTTATTGACTTTTAAATAGATATTTAATTTATCATAGATTGTCATAGATACCGACATTTTGATTTTTTTTTTTTTAATATTCAATAATAAGTATTCTATGCCAATCTTTTCACGCATTGGTAACTTTTGCCATCTTTAGAAGAGTAAATTTTAGGTCTCTAAGTCACTGGTACTACCTCGTTATGGCATACGTTCCGTGGAACTACCTCAGCAGGGTCTTGATGTCCGCCAGAAATATTTGAAATCCAAATTTTCCCGTTTCAATCACAACATTAATACCATCGGATTATTGATATCAATTATATTTTGAAATAACTTTTTTTAATATATATTTTTTGTACAAATTTAAGAATCGATATTGGAATTTTTCTCTTATTCGTAAATTTGTTTTTGGGTGGAGGGGCCGCGATCTCGAATGAGTTACGGCTCTTGCAAAAATTGTATATCAAGTGTTCCAATCATCCAGTGTCTTCAAAGAACTATGTACGGTACCTTGGACTCTACTTAGACAAAAGACTTACTTGGAACATACATACGAAATTAAAAAGACAAGAACTTACCAGACGATATAGCCAACTTTCACATCTTCTGTACTACAGATCTTCACTTAACTTACGAAACAAGCTACTTATTTACAACACCTTACTGAGACCAATATGGACATATGGGGCAGAACTTTGAGGTTCAGCAAAACAAACACACATAAACAAAATAAAAACAGCACAATCAAAAATTTTACGAAAAATTGTTAACGCACCTTGGTACATTTCAAACACTAATATACATAACGACTTAAACACCCCAACAGTAAAATCCTACATCCACGACAAATACACTACATTTCATTCTTCAATCCAAAATCACTCCAATCCTCTGGTTCTTTCTATCTCCTGCTCCCTGTTACCTGAGCAACGAAGATTAAGAAGAAATTGGCCAAGAGACCTACTAAATCAATTAAAACATCAACATAAAAAAAAATCAAGCAATTACACAAAGACAATAAAAATACAACAAATTTGCTAGATGCGCAGCAGCGCAGGTGCAAATTGCATAAAATAAAATATAAATAAATAAGTGTTCAAATCCCGTCCGCGGGAATTAATAACAAAAAAAAAATTAAAAAAAGGTAAAACAATTTAAAATAATTTAAAATTAATAAGTGCTGGTCCTACTAAACTACTTAGATCACTATGACGCGGGTTCGATTCACACCTTGAGGTGGTAACGTCCCCACCCAAAGATTCATAGGGAGCTCACACCTGTGTCTTACACGATAGCTCCTGGTCCTCCGGGTATGAGGTTGGGTACATGGCTGATAATCCCCTATCTCACAAGAAAAACTGGGTGGACGATTGAAGAAAAATAATGCCAACCATCCTCCAGGAAAGTACCTGATGAAGAGGGAATGAAATAGGATCGCATCCGGTTAGTAAACCACGTGCTCTCTCTATATCTCGAAGAAGAGAAAACCAAACAATCACTACTGTCGACTATAACAGCCTCAAAAGCTGCTAAAGAAGACTCACGACGAAAAAAGTCGAAGTCAACAGGCGTAAACAAAAACAAATAAAAATAATGATGTAGAGATGGTTGATCATGATATAATATGAGAAGGAGTTGATCGGGGGGTATGTCAAATAAATACTAAATTGTAGAAATAGTATTATTTAATTTTCTTGCCGACGTTTCCACCTACTTTGCAGGTCTTCATTAGGGCGTAGGATATAGCATTGCGGGAGGCAGTTGAAGACAGTTGCCAGTGTTTCAACTACATTCCTACGCCCTGATGAAGATTTGCAAATTGTGTCGAAATGTCGGCAAAAAAAATAATACTATTTCTATACTTTAGTATTTATTTGACCGCACCCCCCTATAAACTCCTCCTCTAAAAATAAAAATATTTTTTTAAAAATTAATATTATCAGATCAAATAATTCTTACCAGATATTGGACATCTACCCAGACATTTTATATACTAATTTTAAAAATGTTTAAAATGTCTTCAGTTTATAAAATATTAAAATCTTAATTGAAACAATATTTGGGCTGATAGAGAAAACAATGTTTGTATTGTACACACTTTGGCAAAGCGGTCAATCCATTAACCAATAGAGGTAACACTACTTCATTCATTGAGATATGTCAGAGGTTTAAGTGTAAATTAAATAAATAAATTTTAAAAATAAAATATGTTGACTATAACATTTCATCATTAACAAATGTTTTTTATTTTATTTTATAGTGAAGGCCCTGGGTTCATGTTCTACCAGTCGGAAACCAGTGATTCGGAAGCATGGGACCAATCTCAACCCAACTTCATTTCTTCCCACAGGTAAATTAAGTATAATTTAATCTGTGAAAAATGTCGCATTTATTAATATGTTTATTATACATTTTAATACAGTAAAACAAATGAAAAAAAAAATCGGTCTTTAACTTCCTCTTAATAACTCGATAAAAGTCCTGGATTTTGATGAGGACAAGGCAGAAAACTGATATTTCGTTAGATTTTTTTTAATACATCAGTACTTCAAAATCTCTATAAGAATGATTCTAATATTTTTGACTAATTTAAATGGTTACGGAGATATTCAAATGATTATATTTATATAATTTACATCTTAAGCGAAAATTGACCCAAACTATGAAATTGCTGTCCTTAATCGCAGTTTTTGAAATTGGATTCGTTTGTTTAACATTTTCGATCGTTTGAATAATAATTAAAAGACTTTTTATTATGATGATTGTAAAAGTTCACTGACAACAGAACATGTTGTCATAATAAGTAACCTTAACGCATAAAAAAAGTGTATTTAACGGAGTTTGAAATCGATAATTATTTTTCTCACAAAATCATATGATAATTATGATATTTGATTTTTAATTACTAGTAGGCAAATTGTAATTGAAAAAGGAAACAAAAATTAATTTCGAACTTCATTGATGTTTGAAACTAACACGTTTACAAATTTCAATAAGCTGCATCTTTGCTAAAAATTGATTTTTCCCCCTTTTGTAGCGAATTTAGTAATATTTTATATTATAAGAGAAAAGTGTTATTCACAGATAAAATTTATTTTATTTTATAACTTTTTGCTTTATTTTCGGGCTGATTGGACTATTTAAGCCGCCTGTAGGGGAATGAAACATTCCAAATTGGTGGTTCGATCTTGGGATTTGGGGTGACGAATTAACGATGATGTGGCTTATCGACAAAAAACTCCTGTGATAAATAATATAAACTCCTCTTCTCACGATCATAGGGGGCCGCAAGTAGACGTAATGAGACATGTATTCAATGACAGTACTACAATTAACGTAAGGTTGTGCGGGATGCGAACCCTTTGCTTAGCATTATCTCGAAATTAGTACGGCTTTGGGCTTAAGTGTACTCATCAAAATTTTCAAAGTCTAATTTGAATTGTTTCGATCTACAGACTTACTACCGTTCTAGTATCGAAGCCAAGCAAAATGTTTGTATCGATTTTATTTATTTTAGATAGAAAAACAAAAGTGTGCAATACGATTCGCTAACTCCCCGTGTAATTCTGAATGCAAAGGTACCCCATTTATGGTATTTGACCATGACAGGAGCTTATATATGGTACAAAACCGATTTCGAGTCTTACTGTAATGATATATGTGGGGATTAATTTTTAATAATCATTTATGTATAAAAATTTAAATCAATCTTAAATGTTATTTGATTCGATTAAAAATGATGATTATTCACTGAGTGATACAGTATTACGTATATAATAAAGAGTTAATTCTGATAAAAAAAAAGCATTAAACAGACAATAAAAATCATCATTTAGAAAGAAATCAATAATATTATGTTTGTATTATTTAGTGTATTAATATGTATGTATACGTTATCAATGTTCATATTTTTAATATTATATATATATATATATATATATATATATATATATATATATATATATATATATATATATATATATATATATATATAATCATTTAAAAAGAGCAGAAAATATATTTTAATGTTATATTTAGGCGTTTCATTCAAATCCATTAATTTTTCTGTTATATATTTTCCGGACAACAATATTATCCACCTACTATTCCAGACTTAAAATATATCAGAGATTTTTTTTTCCGTTGGCATTACAGACTTTACAGATCTTTTGCCGCCTCAACAAACCTGCTTCATCTCTGTTTATCTCGTGCAATTTCTTTCTTGTTGATTATATCTATGCATCTGCTTTTTCTCTTTCCACGTGGTCTTTTTCCTTATATTGAGGCATTCATTGTTACGTAGAGGCTTCCAGATGGATTGCTACGAGCTACATGCCCCGCCCTTCATAACCTCCCTTCCTTCATATCATGGGATATTGATTGGCCAGTTTCTGTAAGCAGTTCTTCATTGGTCTTTCTTCTCCACTTGTTTGTACTCTGATTAGTGTCCAGATCTCACAGTCATATATTAGAACTGGCTTCATAGATAATACAAAAAAAAATCTGATTTAAAAAACTCAAAAATTATTATTGATGTCATCATCATCAAAAATAGAAATTTCTCTTAATAAAATTATTATTAAATTATTAAATTATTTTAAAAGAATTTCAGATAACATTTTGATCGGATCTGATTTTTATTTTTGTAATTATCGATTTTAAACTGTAGTATTTAAATCATGATATAACATAGAGAAAAACAGGAAATTTAAGTTTTGTATTTTTTAACAAGCCAATCACGTTTTTTTCAAAAACGATAAATAAAAAAAAATAAATTGCAACAACTTTCAACTTTAGAATAATTTATCATTTAAAATTGCCGCCACTATAATCTATTTTCTAATTATTTTTAATAATAAGTATTTATAATTGATAAATGTTTAAAAATCTTCATTAATATATATAATATTAATATTTTAAAATATATTAAATAGTTGTATTGTTTATTAATTCGTAATTTTGATATTATTTATTAATTATACAAAACAGAAAAAAAATAATAAATTTAGTTTGGATCTAGCTCAAATTTTTTTTATTTTTTTTTTATTTATTTATATGATATTTACAACTGTATACAAAAAATACATCTGGTAAATTCGCCCATTGGTATAAAGACATGGAACACATGTTGAGAAACTACCCATTGGTAGCACTCTAATAATATGTCTATATTAGAAGATCACGTGGCCATCTTCTTTTCAGACTCCTCGGAGGGTTATCAGAAATCGAATAGGAAGCAAGGTTAGAGACAAGAGGGTTGGGATGGTTATAAAGTTTATTATGGAAGGACAGATATCTGGATTGGGCCAAATCTGATACATAAGGAACATTAAGGTCATTATGGATAATTTTATTTGTAACAAAGTAAGGAGCATTGAGGATTTTACGAAGGATTTTGGATTGTAAGGATTGTATGCAAGAGGAATTTGAAGGTTTGGTGGAGCCCCATAGATCAATTCCGTAAGTCCAAATAGGCCTTATTATACTCATGTAAATCAGTCTTTTATAATTGATTGGGAGGTTACAGCGTTTGTCTAGCAGGTGTTGAAGTAGTCGGAAACGTCGAGCTGTTTCTTGTCGTTTCAGTCTGGTATGAGGATTCCAAGTTAGACGTTTGTCCAGATGGAGTCCTAGGTAACGGATTTGTTCAACAGGAATAAGTGAGGTGTTGTTAAAGGATACTGAAGGACAGGAAGTCATTGGTTTACGACGAAGGGTGAAGGTAATTTGATGGGATTTATTGGAATTTATTTTAATTCTCCAGTTCTGACACCATTCTTCAAGGTTTGTGATGTGGGATTGAAGGGTTTGGGATGCAATAGATGGGTCGTTATTAACTGATAGGATACATGTGTCATCAGCATATGTGGTGATGACAGTGTTGGGATGTCAGCTGTATAAACTGTGTAAAGGATAGGACCTAGGATACTACCTTGAGGAACACCTGCAGACTGGGAAAAACGGGATGTATAGACATTGTTGTGATTTACTTTAAAGTATCTATCAGCTATCAGTAAGGTAGGAACGGATAATGAGGAGGTAGGTAGATGGTAGGAATTTTCGGAGTTTGTACAGCAGTCCCGGGTAGCTCGAAATTTGAAATTCTCTATGATTAAAATATGTATTAATGTGTTTTATCTGAAAATAAAGTTCGCGAAATCTAAAATGATTTATTTTAATTCTTCAATGCTGAATGGATCTATTCATGTTATTCTTTATAAAATATGTAAAAGTTCATTCAACGGATCATTTTGACGCCTACAACGCAAAAGACTGCAAGTGATAAAACTGAAAATATACCTTAGGCTTACAAAAACTATAATATATATATATATATATATATATATATATATATATATATATATATATAGATAGAGAGAGAGAGAGAGAGAGAGAGATAGAGAGAGAGAGAGAGAGATTTTCTGATAAACTCTATTAGTTTGCTCAAGACAGATGTTGAGTGTTTTAAATATTTTTAGTATATAAGTCAGAATAAGCTCTCGAGTTTGTATAGAAAAGCTAAAAAACATCCATTCCAACAAAACTGTCCTTACAGGCTTTTACTGCGTGACTGTCGATATTGAAGATCTGTCATCTCCAGATACAGAATACAGACAGGTTTACGTAAGACGAGCCGTCCTCTCACCCAACCGTGGAGATGGTTGCATCAGACTAAATAAAAATCTTCATTGCATTGAATTGCCTAGTGATTTATCTATTCCTAACAGCACGTGGAGCCGACAAATATTGTTATTATTATGACCGTGAACCCTGGGCACCGCGAATGTTTTAAACTTTTTGAGAACTCAATGTCACAACAAAAAAAAAATGAAAGGATGTTTTAGAAATAAACCATTATATTTTATAAAACAAATAAGGCTTACGTATTTAGGGAATAAATATAAATTGTACAAATTGAACATTACCTTGTTTGGGTGCCAATCAACAATTGTGTAATAAATATTATGTTACAAACATCATGCTCTAGTAATTTGAAAAAAAAAAAATAGAAACATTCTTTTGCAATTTTTATCAGATACAATTTTATAATATAGTCATGTTATTGATATATGAATATATGTCCCCCTATTAATATATCTTACATATATTAATATATTAATATATGTAATATACCCACTTTGTATCGGTTTCCACCTCTTCTTTACCCTCCCCTTCCGGCTTTTCTCCAGAGGTACCTTTTAACGACAATAATTTTTATTTTTCCGACATTTCTCCCACAGACCTTATTACCGTTATAATGAAATCCCGTTCCGATTCCGTAGGCCCAGATGGCATTCCTATCAAACTAATAAAATTATGTCTCCCTGAAATCCTCCCAGCAGTCCTTTT